CTATAATCGAACCAATATTCGAATTTTATGTTCGAATTTAATTCGAACAAATTCGAACAAAACATTCGAAATAGAAAGCCACTTTCAACCACTTTCAGCCTCATATCTCCCGCACCCTTATAGCTATTGAGACGCAACAACCCCTATGCACGAATGGAGACTTGGGGTTACCACCACATACAAACACTATTCACGTGCGATGTGTAGTTTTGGCGGAAAGGTGAAATATAGGGACATACATGTCCATTTATATATATATATATAGAATATAGAATATAGATATAGATATAGATATAGATTTCTGATCTTCGATTATGTTATTTCAATTTAAAAGTAATAAGTTACAAATTATTTTCACACTTTTAGAGGCAAATAAATACACGTTTGATGCCATAAGATACGACCAATTGTTGATATGCTAATATACATTTTACATAAAACAAACGAGCAATTATTTATTGTGGCATGGTTACAATGACGGCTACAATTTTTAATCATATTTTTAATTTATTTAATTTAATCCACCTCGGATTAGTACTGTTGTTTCTTGCCCCCGTATATGATACTTTTCCGTTAACAATGGAGTCGTGCCGGTCATCTATTAACTGCTTTTGGGGGAAAAAGTTTGAATTAAAATAACGTGACTTCCAGCTATCATCGGAAGTTCGTATATAGTTACCCGGGGCCTCCTGTTTCTACGGTTTCCGTATCTGGTCTCGTCTTTCATCGATGTGACTCCGTTCTCCAGATTCAGGAATGATAAGATATTTATAAACCTACAATTTTGTTTTCAAATTGCGGAAGTTTACTGTATTCTTTGTTATTAAATATAAAACTGTAGCTTTAGAATTTTTATTAAAAATATAAGCTTTATATATACTTGTAAAACATAAATGTTTATATTTAATCATTATTATTATATATTATTTTATTCTTTGTATATTTTAATTCATTTTATTATATTGAGTTTTACTTTTCCGACTGTCATATATATATAACACTGGTAAGTATTGTGATCGTCTCAAATTTAACCATCCAAAATGTTTTTAATCTCGATTTTTTGAGACTATTGAGCCCAAAAAAATGTCACAAAGGGAAGTAATTCTGTGTGTGTGTGTGGGGAGGTGTATTTCGTTTAAAATCTCGAAAATATATTAATATTAAAGCGCGTCATTAAAGTAATATTAAATTCGTTATAAAAATTTTTCGCGCGGGTAAAAAAATATGAAAAAGTTTGAGCTTATATAAAACACTGGAAAAAAATTTTTTTTATCTCCTTAAGGACTTTTTTGTAATGCTATGTGTTCGTGACGAGATATAAAATTATTCGGTATATGTGAGGATTCCAAATCAATTTTTAGCGTTTTTACCATAAATTAATATAAATAAAATTTTATTTACGAAGCAGTTAATTTATGTAGCCTAATTAAAAATAAACAGTTGAAGCAGTTAGAATTGGATTTTACTTAATTAAATACGCATTTATGTGTAAATTCCAAAATTAAGTTATTAAACAGACGAATAGAGTTTAAAACGACTTTGATTCTAGAATATGAATAATTTAAATAAACAAATTTTGAATTTATACAAAGTAGGAAATTACTTTGAAACGTTTTTATCCTTGAATTTTATACAAAAAGAGGGAATTTTATATCAATTTTATATCAGAGGGAATCCATTTAATGGCAGCCATGAAATAGATTCCTTCTGATGCCAAACGACCACGCGGACACCCCAGGGATATTTGACGTAGAACTTTTCTTTAAGATTTGAAGAGGCTCAATGTGACATGGGAGGAAGCTGAAGTCCTCGCCCAGGATCGAAATCGATGGATGATAATTGCTGCCCGTTATACTATTTAGCATTGGAGGAATTACTAATACTACTAGTAAAACATCAGCAGATTTCCCTTTAGTTAATGTTTACTTCAGTTATAATCACTATTTATTTAATTATTTTTTCGCTTATACCGAGTTTACTCTTATTTTTCTGATTTAGGCTACTTTAAAATGAGGAATAAAGTAAAATTTCTGTTATATTTTTAATTACTCGAATTAAATTTGACCCGGCTTCGAGAAAGATTCCCCGTCACCAGCTTAAATTTTATAATATTATACGAAGACAAGTAACAAAATATAACACTTTATCAATGTATTTAAATACATTATTTAATACGATTATAATGGAAAGTAATCGTATTAATAAATAAATATAGAGCGAGAGGGATTTAACAGCACACGCGTTCAAATTAGCCTGTAATAAAAATGTAAGTTTATTAAAATTTAGGATCGTTTTAAAATAAAAATTTAAAAAATCCACTAAAAGAAATAATCATTTTCTAATAAATTTACTGCAAGTAAAAAGAAAAAATGACGATAAATTTTAATTGTTTTTTCATGTATTGAAGTTTAGTATTGAGTAAATATTAAAAATAGAAATACAGATAACACTGTAGTTACGTTCCGAAAAAGTACCGTGTTATGAGAATTCGTGCTATATGAAACATAGGATAGGTTTTAAAATTTAACAAAAATCTATCGTTCTTTTTGTTACGAAAATATCAAATAACGGAGTTTGCATTTAAAAAGATTGAAATTTTGTACTGAAAATTTCCCAAATTTTTAAACCGTGTTATACGAGGGATACCTATATTTATTTATTAATACAATCAATTATCTAAATGTAATTAAGTTTAAAAAGTTTAATCGTTTGTAGTCTATCTTATTACAAAAAAAAATAAGATGGGAACAAATAATTTCTCATATTTACAAACTTCAAAAAATGACTTCAGGAAAGTTCANATTGCAGAATCGAAAAAGGAAGGCTGCCTGTAAAACTGAGTTTTGCATTAATGCATTTATTGTTTTTTGAATATTTTGCGTGCGAAAATGACTTGGATATTATTTTCTTTAAAATATCGGGGAAATAAGGTAGGTTGATACAGAAACTATTTATCGCACATGTACTGTACAGTACATGAGCTTCAAAATAAATAAATAGATAAGTAAATAAAAATAAATTTTATCAAACGATGAGATCAGCCGATTAATTGTATCGTATACAATATTTTATACCCCCAAGGAAAATACTGTAGGTCTACGGTAAAATAAATTTCGTTTTCCATAGTTAAACTTCGCCGCTAATCTTCTTTTTCTTCTTCTTCTTGTGTTTATATGGAGTTCGCCGCTAATTGCTGTTGTGATAACTTTAATACGATCTTCTAACGACAGCACTTTGCATTTCTTTCGTTTATCGGACAATTTCGAACAAACTGAAATGAATTTCCTTTGTTACTAGACTAATTCATTAACACCTGAACCTAATTTCAAGGATGGAGAAGTGTCCGAGATGGGTTCGAACGAGAGTTTAGACTAATTCATTATATTAGGAGGGGGAAAACGTTGTTGAACAATAGTTTAGACCAGATATATTCGCGAAAGTGGTCGCTTATTACAGTTGTTGTATGTTGTTTCAGACGAAAAATCTTTGCCCGCGGTCGCGTTACACAGGTGGTCGTTTAATACAGGTAACATATACGAAGACTTTATGGATAAACTATTCGGTGCCAGAAATGTTCGCCCGTGTTGACAGATGCCCGTCGAATGCAGGTGGTCGTCTAAGCAGTTTTTACTGTACTTTAATTACTTCGCATGGTGTGATGATAAATTAGGTAACTATATTAAATGCAATTATAATGATATTTATTAAACAATTGAATAAAACAATATTATTTTTCGTTTTAATTTTACTTTTTATTAATCAGTACGAAGAAGCCAATGCCGTATACACGAAATACCCCTGCACAGACAATACAACAATTCCTTTAGAAAAGCATACAATACAAGCATTAAGAACATAATCTTGATGGAAACATTTTAAAATAAAGTTTCAAATAATGTAATAAAAATTCAGATCTAACGGCGTGTTTTTATTTTAGCTTCTTGTAGATTTTTAAGGATTTTTATCACCCATAATTAAGACGGTTCTAATTATTTTCAAGTTAGGAAATTCCGTTTTCGAACAGTCATTTCTTCTTATTAAAAACATTCTCCGATTACCCGATTACGGCGAATTCGATCGAAGGAATACGATTATTCACTGGAATTCAACCTCAATAACCGGAGTATTCCCGTATTTTAAATAGCTTAAATAATACTTCAAAATATGTATTTCATCTCTCATAATTCCAAAATTGATTAAAACAATTTAAGTAGACGATCCACACCATCCACATATATATCACCCTGCGACTACTGTTACTAAATCAGTTTGGCTAAATAAAAGATAAAATACGAAATTAGTTATTAAAAAAATTTAAGCTGGCAAAGATATATTAGATACAATATAACCTCGATATAGCGCACTCTCAAATAACGATACCCTGGTAAAGCGCTAACGGATTTTCCCTATAAATAGGCGGCTTCTTCGGTAGTCGTAACTTACCGAACGTAGGATTTTGTCCGGCGAGCCACACTTAAATTAATACGTTAAATTTAAATTTGTGTTTAAACTCCATTATTATACATTATTATTATCGTTCCAAATTGTTTAATTTAACGCCACACTCGATTTAGTCCCGATTTCGAAGGTAAACAAACGGTGGCGCGAAATCAAAGTCGGAGCGGGTATTATCACTTACTTGAAATCGCATATTACGCAATATAAACAACAATACAGAGGTACGTCGATGGGTTCCGATGAAACGGGACAGAAGAGGCAGAATAACTGCATAAATCCGAGACCCGGTTCGATAAAACAATGAAGCAGACAAAACACGACGGTAAACGGGACAAATATTTTCATATTCTATAAACAACACAAAAAATCATTAAAATAAACATTTTGAATCTTCTCAAATTATAACAGCAACGTTATAATTAAAGTCACGCGGAATGATTTAAACGCGATATTTGTAATTTTATGCTAAAAATTTCTTGCTTCGGATCTAGAATTTACCACGAAAAAATTAAATTCGATCCAGAAAAGTAAGCAAAAGGCAATAAGGACGAGAAATAAAATAAAGATTTTCAAGTTTTCTAAGCATTTTAGTAAATATTTTTGCATTCATCTCTACGAAATAATTACTTAATACCATATATAAAATAACAATAATTTTACAATAAATTTAATAAAATTAACAAATTTAGTTCTTGTTTCATACTGTTAATAAAAAAAACTGTTATAACATTAAAATTTCAATTTAATATCTTATATTAACCAAAGGAGACGGCATTCGGCTGGTACTGTACGTCATGATACAGCTACGATAGTAAATAGGGGCCGATTTCCCACAGAAGTCTTCCCTCAAGACACCTTGCCCGGACGTATCGTCGGTGCTTGGCGTGTTTTACGTGACGATCTCATTCTATCCTTTTCGACATATTCTTGGAAAATGTGAATAAAACCCGGGAAACTGCACCCGCCACCCGCCGTAGGCATTGGGTAGTTTTGTCCAGCCAATCACTCCTTTAAATGCCAAGCCTCTTAAAATTAAACTGACGTATTAAGGTTAGAATAAATTTTCTTCGAATGACGAAAGTAATAAATGATTTAGGTATCGACGGCACGTCCACCATCAATTGCTCGAAATCTAAAAACGGATTGGAAACGTTGGTATTAAAATGATGGGTTACTCGATAAACAATTACCAGAGCTTATAGATGTAGGAAATATGAAATTCGGGTTAAATACTGTATTTCATTTTTGTTTTGTTGAATTTAAATAAATAATAACATTTCCGGGTGCTTAATTACGAAATTAAACGGGGGAAAAACCAATAAAAAAAACTTCTAAATTAACATAATAAAAGTAAATTCGCAATATTCTCCCTTTATTTTTCAACGACTCGGAAGTATTTTATTTACGAAACATCGAATTTATTACAGAAACTTTTTCGGGCAATCGTGCCGATTTCTTGTAATTAAAATTTACATTTAAAACTTAAAAATTATTTTAAATAAATTAAAGCTTTACTCTGGAAAATTAGTTACCAAATATTAACTCGATCCGTTACTTAGCCTATACTAAAAAAATTGTCAAATTAGAGCAAACGTAGTAATAGTATTGATGTATTATGTAATGTGTCATTTTTCATCTATCTTTTGCTATTGATAAATATTTAAATTTTAATATATTTAAAAATATAAAGTAAACAAATAAAAATGCTTTACCTTTTAATACTTTAAAATTTCGAATATTTATCTGAAATTATTTTATCGTTTGTAGTCGATGTACAGTACTTTGTATAAATCTGATATAATTTTCCCCGCTTAAAGCCTCTTCCTGTTATTTTGAATTTTTATTTTAATTCGTATATAATGACGTGAAAGGAATTAATATCGAAACATTTAACACCGCGGGATGTCAACGATAGCAGATTAACGAAGTAGGAATCGGGCAAAATACAATAAACGAGAAAGATCCACAAAATATTCACCGATACTTCTTTTGTACTAAAATTCGTCGAATTTTAATACAAAAGAATAATATTTGCCGACGTAAACAAATATTATTAAGTATATTTAATAATATTATTAAATATAGAGTGTTGGCAACAATTAAGTACTGTATTAACAAAAATAAGTTTAAAATGCATCAATGGAATTTTTTTATATAAAAGAAATTCAATTTATCGGCATTGAAAATATATTAATCGTGATATTTTAACCGGGACAAAATAATAATTTTATTATAAATTGCGTGACATTGATATTATTATTTATGCTAACAATAATGAAGTAACAAATAATTTGTTCGTGTTTGTAGATAAATATATATTTCCTGTTTATATAACTGTAAAAATGAATGGCCGCCAAAGTATTTTATTTTTCCCGCTGACATCGTTTTAAATTTCAATGCAAAATTCATTTAAATGACTTTTTTCCTACGAATTTTTCTAAGAGTATTTCTACGCCTGGGCAATTGACGCTATTAGATTTTGGAGGTTAAAAGCTGAAGAAGTGGAGAAATAAGAGGGAAACGCTTTTCGAATCTCGAATGAGATCGCACTTGGTGCAGAATAGGCCAAGTATAATACATATAATATAAACATGTAAATTATATGAGCCCTCAGAAGGGATTCATTTTACTTGTTAGATATATGAGCCCTTTACTGGAGTAGTGAATACACAAAAGCAACATTTTCTAGACCTCTTAGTGCTCTTAGAGAGAATACAGGCCAATGACCACATAAACTGAAAAAAATCTACCGTTTGTAGGTGCAGTCCCTTAATTCTCGTAATCTTGCGTATCCTTTCTGCAACCATTACAGATAAATCTCTATCTTCTAGGAAACTATCTTTGAATTTTGCAATTTATAGATCGTTTCGTGAATGCTTTCTCTAAATTTCGGAAAGCTTACGTAATTGCGTGAAATATTTTCATTTCTTTCCTCAACTATTTCGTTACAGTTCATAGCATTACAAGACTTTATTTACTATTAATTAATTAAGGAACGAAACAGTTTGTTAATGTACGAAAAGGATAGAGAATCGAGTGAGTAATTTAAATATGATTTTAAAAATACAACACTTAATTTGTTGTAAGTAATTTTTATTCGACCGTAACTTATATATACTAAGATATTATTAATAGACAGGAAAATAGAGAAATTGCAGATGATGATGCATTGTTAAAGCGAGATATAAAATTAGAGTTATTTTTGTGTTTTACTTTTATATTACTTTTCTGTAGTCAAATTACAGTTATTATGGCTACAAAAATTCTTTTTTTATTTGTGTACAGTACGTAACATGTCATTTACAAAAGTCATAACTCTCAAACAAGGAAAAATCCTTGAATTACTAATAGACGGCAATTATCTTCAAATTTATTTTTCATTCAATTCAACGAAAATAAATTTGAAGATAATTGAATGAAATTGATAATAGAGTTGAATGGAAAATATATTACATATAAATTTTTGTGTATCTTCTTTTAAATAATTATTTTAAATGGTTACAATTCGAATTTTATTGTTTCTTTTCGCAAAACAATTTTATTTTATTTCTTATAAATATCAAAAAATTTTTGGTATAAAACACATTTCACTATGTTGCGGGTTAATTATAAACAACGAGTAAGCAAATATTTATATTTGCTTTGTGTAACTTTGGAATTATTATTAAATATTTAACGAAGTAACTTCAAAATTAAAAGTACTAAATTACAATCGAAATTCCATTAACGATCAGCTGTAAATAACGGCCTTTTATTGGGAACTTATATGTGTAATTTTAAATTGTATAAACTGTTGAAAGCTAACAACTTTTAACAATATAAATGCAGTAGAACCTTGATTATCCCTCTATTATCCGGATTTTCGATTATCCGGATTGTTCAAAATAAAAATTTTACGAATTTGCTGATTTGCACTTGGCGAATTACGACACTGTTTATGTACGTGATGGAATGCATAACTTTTTTTGTTTCAACAACGTCTCACTTAGCACAGTGGTCGTAAACTCTTAAATATATTTTACGTCGTAATAAAATTATAACTTGACATACGTATTTATAAATAATTTATATTCAAATTACATCATTTCTATGACCAAGGGCGGCGTAAGGCATGGACGACGTGGGCCACCGCCTATGCCTCGCGGTCCGAAGGGCCTCGCGCCTCGAAGGTTTATGCATTATTTAAAAGCAGCGAACGCGACGAAAAAATTTTACTCGTCATAAAACGATAAATAGTTTGTCAAATTTTTATTCATAAAAATGCAGTTTCAACTGCTTTTTATTTTATAAAATCCGTCTTCTTGCGCCACTAGAGGGCCTTTTAAACAATAGGTAGTATTTTAGCGCTGGACAGTAGTAGTCTAAATTCAATACAAACATTTGTTTCTTGAAAATTTGATCACGATTAAAATACAGTATTTATTTTTAATATTACCGATATGTCATCAAAAAGAAAACGTGTTGTACTAACATTAAAAGATAAATTAAAGTCAGGGGTCGCCAAAGTGATCGATATGGACCCCCAGGGGTCGATGCGGCTAGGGAGTCGATTAGGGGTCGATGCGGCTAAGGGGTCACAACCTTTTTTTTTTTTTTGCTTAGACAGAGACCACAACCCACAACTTTTTTTTTCGCTCATACATATACACTTGTAATAAAACTTTACGGTGGGGGTCAATGTGAGGCTTTGGAAAGTGATTGGGGGTCGACAGTTAAAAAATTTTGGCGACCCCTGAATTAAAGTATTTGTTTCGATTATCCGAATTTTCCCTTATCCGGACTACCTTCATCCCCAATTAGTCCGGATAATCGAGGTTCTACTGTGTTTCTATAGTACAGTATATAGTATTGTTATTTTATATAAGACTAGCTGCAAGATCCCGCTTCGCTGGATTTTTATTTGTATGTAATATAGTTTTTTTTAATACATATATAAAAGACTGTTTTTCTAAGTAATCTAGAATCAAGCTGCAAGGACCCGCTTCGCTGGGCAAAAAGTAACGATGGTGAAGATTAAGATAATTACATTATAGCTAATCTTACCCGTTTTCACAGAATGCAAGAATTAGGTCCCCCGTTTCCAGACTAATTAGAGAATTTTTACGTTTAGTCAAACGAACTATTTTCAACGTTTCTGGAACGTTTACAATCGTTCTATAATCGAACCAATATTCGAATTTTATGTTCGAATTTAATTCGAACAAATTCGAACAAAACATTCGAAATAGAAAGCCACTTTCAACCACTTTCAGCCTCATATCTCCCGCACCCTTATAGCTATTGAGACGCAACAACCCCTATGCACGAATGGAGACTTGGGGTTACCACCACATACAAACACTATTCACGTGCGATGTGTAGTTTTGGCGGAAAGGTGAAATATAGGGACATACATGTCCATTTATATATATATATATAGAATATAGAATATAGATATAGATATAGATATAGATTTCTGATCTTCGATTATGTTATTTCAATTTAAAAGTAATAAGTTACAAATTATTTTCACACTTTTAGAGGCAAATAAATACACGTTTGATGCCATAAGATACGACCAATTGTTGATATGCTAATATACATTTTACATAAAACAAACGAGCAATTATTTATTGTGGCATGGTTACAATGACGGCTGCAATTTTTAATCATATTTTTAATTTATTTAATTTAATCCACCTCGGATTAGTACTGTAGTTTCTTGCCCCCGTATATGATACTTTTCCGTTAACAATGGAGTCGTGCCGGTCATCTATTAACTGCTTTTGGGGGAAAAAGTTTGAATTAAAATAACGTGACTTCCAGCTATCATCGGAAGTTCGTATATAGTTACCCGGGGCCTCCTGTTTCTACGGTTTCCGTATCTGGTCTCGTCTTTCATCGATGTGACTCCGTTCTCCAGATTCAGGAATGATAAGATATTTATAAACCTACAATTTTGTTTTCAAATTGCGGAAGTTTACTGTATTCTTTGTTATTAAATATAAAACTGTAGCTTTAGAATTTTTATTAAAAATATAAGCTTTATATATACTTGTAAAACATAAATGTTTATATTTAATCATTATTATTATATATTATTTTATTCTTTGTATATTTTAATTCATTTTATTATATTGAGTTTTACTTTTCCGACTGTCATATATATATAACACTGGTAAGTATTGTGATCGTCTCAAATTTAACCATCCAAAATGTTTTTAATCTCGATTTTTTGAGACTATTGAGCCCAAAAAAATGTCACAAAGGGAAGTAATTCTGTGTGTGTGTGTGGGGAGGTGTATTTCGTTTAAAATCTCGAAAATATATTAATATTAAAGCGCGTCATTAAAGTAATATTAAATTCGTTATAAAAATTTTTCGCGCGGGTAAAAAAATATGAAAAAGTTTGAGCTTATATAAAACACTGGAAAAAAATTTTTTTTATCTCCTTAAGGACTTTTTTGTAATGCTATGTGTTCGTGACGAGATATAAAATTATTCGGTATATGTGAGGATTCCAAATCAATTTTTAGCGTTTTTACCATAAATTAATATAAATAAAATTTTATTTACGAAGCAGTTAATTTATGTAGCCTAATTAAAAATAAACAGTTGAAGCAGTTAGAATTGGATTTTACTTAATTAAATACGCATTTATGTGTAAATTCCAAAATTAAGTTATTAAACAGACGAATAGAGTTTAAAACGACTTTGATTCTAGAATATGAATAATTTAAATAAACAAATTTTGAATTTATACAAAGTAGGAAATTACTTTGAAACGTTTTTATCCTTGAATTTTATACAAAAAGAGGGAATTTTATATCAATTTTATATCAGAGGGAATCCATTTAATGGCAGCCATGAAATAGATTCCTTCTGATGCCAAACGACCACGCGGACACCCCAGGGATATTTGACGTAGAACTTTTCTTTAAGATTTGAAGAGGCTCAATGTGACATGGGAGGAAGCTGAAGTCCTCGCCCAGGATCGAAATCGATGGATGATAATTGCTGCCCGTTATACTATTTAGCATTGGAGGAATTACTAATACTACTAGTAAAA